CGCTACGCTGAATCCGAAAATCCACATTGGAGAGCGCGAAAACGACGAAAAACGGCTCTAACACTGGAGGGAAATCAGCAAGTGGGCGGGGTCTTCCCCACTGTGAATTCACGCTTCCAGCTTCCAGAGAAATTTTCTCGAATCCGTTAGCTGCCGTGACATCACTACCAATTAAGTGCAAATGAATGATTTGAAACCGGAATCAAAAAGATCGCCCCCGAAGCTGGGAGGGTGAATTCACCGTGGGGAAGACCCCGCCCACTTGCTGATTTCCCTCCAGTATTAGAGCCCTTTTTCGCCGTTTTCGCGCTCTCCAATGTGGATTTTCGGATTCAGCACAGCAAATAGGCCCGGGTAAGCACAAAATCTCAAAATCGAGTTTTTGCCCGGACACTGCCTTTAATCTGATTCAGATTTTCATGGCTTATTCTTGTGCCAATAGTGCCTATGGTCTCTTCGCTTGGAATAGCCGTTTAAGGACATCAGAAGTTGGCGAGCTCCCTTCCTTGAGTTCCCCCTTCTCGTTCACCCAGGGTCCCCAACGGATTCGTCCGTTGGGGTTAAGTTGGTAGCCAAGCTGGTAGACTGTACCTTTGTAAGCGTCGCGTAAGGGAACAGGAGCTCGGCAGGGGATTCCTCACCATCCTATGAAGGATAACGACCTGTTAACTCCAGAAGGGACTTTGTTTGGACCATGAAATCTGACTGCTGTACATCTTTCTTTTTGTGGTTGTTGCCTTCGGTGCCCCTTGTGTGTATTTCAAATAAATAAATGTCAGACCAACACGATAGATCTAGAACCATTTCTTAGTAAGCACCTGCAAGTTCTGGAGGATCTTCTGAAAACTGCTGTGCCTTTTCGCAGTCAGCGCAGCTGGCTAAGGCCCTTTTGGCGGTTTATATTATTTCAAGCCATTCAAGCGAATGCTTTGCGTTTCATTCATTGGTTTTTATAAGGGGAATTGGCAAAACACTCAACAACTCGATACATCAGTCATAAAATTGTGCAAGTTCTTGCCTCTTCTTGTAATTAATCGCACCCTCAACCAGAGCACGGCACTGGTGGCTCACCAAGCAAGCTGGATATCATTTTCGGGAAAAAAAGCAAATGGAATCTTGTTTCTGCGTAACCGCACACCGCTGTCCTTCGATATGGAGGGTCCACGTGCCGCCGTCATGCTCTCTCAAACTTGTTTATAGCGAAGTGAAAACGAAACGACACCAAAATATTATTAGGTTGGTTCATGATTAATGCACATTTTTCCTACCTTTAATTTCAAACGCTAGTTTTCAATCAAAATCTTTTTTCTCTAAAACCATTTAAACTGTCGGAAAGCTCGTTCTTCTATTTTCTGACGTACACACGGGGCTCGGCATGAGGTGGCTTTTTCATTTGCAAAAACGAAGTCCTCGCAGATTTCGCTACACAAATACGCCATCACCTATGACACAATCAGGAATGGATCAATCACGAATAACAGAAAATAACGAAACAAAACTTAAAAGCAGCATGAGCAAAGAAAAAACTAAAGAACTTCATATTCTCGGAATTGGCGGCATGCTGTGTCCGGCGCGCACCGTTGCGCGATCCGAGCAGGCTGGCCGCCGTCATACAAAATATTTAGAGGGCTGTAACTAGGCGAGGAGAAGGGGGTTTGGGGAAATTCAAAAACTCAGTTATAGGATTTTTGATGTAGAACAAAGATATGCTAAGCTCGTGAAAAAATTATTTAAAGCAAGGGAAATTTATGACTTTTTCTTTTTACAGCCACCTCAGGTGGCTGTCCAGGTGGCTGTAAACCCACCTAACTCCGAAAAAAGTCTGCCGCGACTTTGATTCACATAACTTTTTCATAATTTTTTTCACATAGTACTATCCCCCCATTGCCCATCTACCCATCCATCTTGGTTTCATTTCATTTTCACTTCACTGTATACAAGCCCTTTGTTTGTTTGGGAGACCATGATGCCGGCATGCCGGCAGCGTGCCGGCTGCAGATCGAAAGACAGCAGATGCTCTTCCGCAAAAACGATATCCTCTTTGCTTTTTACCTCAAAAACGATGTCCAGCTTGCCCGGTAAGCCACCTGTGCCGAGCCCTGCGTACACATCTGTTTTCGGAGATCTTTGTTCGGACCAAAGTTCCGTACCTTTAAAGGTGAGGAACTCAAACTTGAAATTTTTTCCTTTCATACGACTTGCCCTAATTCCATGAAAAATGCTTGCTCAGACTTGTTTCAAAAAAATATGTGTTATAATCGCGAAGATTTGAGTTACAGAATGCTCACCAAGGCTAAATTTTTTGAAAATCCTGAGCCGAAAAGCTTTGACTCAAACTTAGTTGAATGCTGGGATCACTCGGAGCTTTATAAAATGCTTACGTGGGAAGTAATTACGGAACTCTCACTCGGTTCTAGTAAAGTAGACCAAGGATTACTAATGATAGGAAAACGGCGGAATCTCCTCATTTTTCAAATGAGAAAAAATTGTTGGAATCTAAAAAATACAAAAAGTTTTTTCCTTTCTCTAAAATGTAGGAGAAAATGGTACTTTTGCTTTCTTGGCAATATTTTTTTGCATAAAATTTTTGATAAAAGCCAAGTTCCACGCTTCTAAAAAATCTATCATTGGCTAAATTAACAAAGTTTGCTCCATTCTAGTCCTTTTGAGAGTAAGTTATGCTCTTTTAAACTAGAGTTTTCCAGAAAAAATTCTCGGTAATTTTTGAGCCGGAAAATCTTTCCCGTGGTGAGTGTAACCACACAAAAGTATACATTGTATAGCTAAAAATTTGCTGTTTACAAAGTTTTTGAGGCGCGCAGAAAGATTGTTTCGGAAAAGAATTATCTTCATTAGAAGTAGAAGTTGAGAAAACGTGCATTGATTATGGACAATCTAATAGGTGTGTAGATGGGCAATGAGGAGTTAGGACTATGCATGGAAAAATATGAAAAATTAAGTGAACTGAAGGCGTTCTCAACTTTTTTCGGAGTTAGGTGGCTTTCAAGCCACCTGCAAGCAACCTGAGGTGCCTCCTTCACATAATTTTTGTGGTAGAAATGAGTGAAATTTCAAATTATCAAACTCTTCGATGAACCGCTGCTCGCGAGCCAAGGATTAGCGAAAAAATCAAAATCTTCAGATTCCATTTCTTCTGTCGAAAACATGCTCAGCAGTATCATAGTATATCTTCAGTACAATTTTGCAGCGTTTTCATTGATTTTCCAGGAAGATAAATAACTTTGAAAATGTGAGGTGATCCCCTGGGGATCCCCAGGGGATCAGACGAAATAATGAATATCTAATCGTGTATGGCAGTAACCTGGCATCCGTTATGCGCAAGTATCAGTGTATGAGAACCTTCAAAAGCAAGACAAAGAAAGAAGAAGAAAGATACATAGACTAGCGAGATATGGCGCTTCCCCTCTCAGATCCCCTCCCCTCCCCGCGGGGATGTACGTGCATACGGGCCTTAGAGTTTCTGGAATCAATTTTTCAATGCTATCAATACCCATATTTGGTCAACTCAGACCTCACAGAACAACAACCGGCAAGCAACTCGGGTGTCATGCGACGCAGCTTTTTCTCCTCTTTCTATAAGTTGTTTTCTGTTTTCAATTCATTAAGTTTTCCGGGATAAAATCATCATAATTCAACTTTTCCAAGGCACCCCAAGGTGCACACGAAATTTTCGAAAGTTGCTAAACCGAAGCGGTGAATTCTCGACTGGTTTGTAAAATTGTTGCCAAACCATAATCCATCTTCGTAACTTTCAAAATCCGGAGACTTGTTGGCGTTTGATGCACTTTTGTCTGAGACGAGCCTGCTAAAATTCGGTGGTTCCATCAAAAATCTGCACAAAAATTATGAAGAGCTCTGAAAAGTAGAAAAAAGTTGTGCTGTTTCCTGTGGGGTTTGCTCCATCCATGTATTAATTGGACTTCTTCTGAGGTTTCTTATAAAATTTTAGAAAAATTGTGAAACTTGGCCTTCTCAAAAGCATAGGTCGCAGATTTTGACTCTTTTCTGGAAGCTCATCAACTGCATTGCAACAACTTCATAAATATTAGAAAGAGAATGGAATGCTGCATCAAATGCTACCAGAATCTCTTACACTTCTTTGTTCCACGAGATGTGGCATACGTTTGAAAAAAGCGACATTACTTTCGAAACGACCTAATATACAGGGTGTCCCAAAAAAATGTATCGAACGTTTGATCGTTAATATCTCTCTTCTAAAAAGTCTTTTCTCTTGCTTCAGGTACCAATCTGTAGGACCGGCTTCAACTTAGATTTGCATTATAGAACGAATCACTCATTTCTCTTCATTACTGTAGGATTACGGTACAAACTTCAAAGAGGGTTTTAAGCAATGAAAGGCCATATTTTGCCTCAGAAAGGAAACAAAACAGCTCGAAAGCTTTTGCACTAGGCTAATTAGAGTTGCTGATTATAACTGTAAAGTTCCCAACTTATTATGACGTTTTATTGAAGAGTTATGCCAGGTAAGAGGTAGCGGCCATTTTTCTAATGTTCCTAAAAAGTGCGGTTACACCGTTTAGAAAGCTTCGCAACCTTGAGAATAGTTGAGTATTGAACTCAGCGTCCATAAAAACCCCAATACACAAGTTTTCACAATTTTTTGAGAATTTTTAAAACGGCAGCTTTTTCCACATTGACACCATATGTTTCAAGTTTCTACCGTAATCCTACAGTAATGAAGAGAGATGGGTGATTCGTTCTATAATGCAAATCTAAGTTGAAGCTAGCTCTACAAAACGGTACCTGAAGCAAGGCAAAAAACTTCTTGGGAAGAGAGATATTAACGATCAAACGTTCGATACATTTTTTTGGGACACCCTGTATGTTTTCTTGGCTGGGGAGAAGGCTTGACCGGACCTCTCTTCGCATGGTTAGGACAAGCAGCGTCCAGGACTCCTTTAAGGTGTAAGCTGCATATGGAGGCACTTTCACAGGCCATCTTACTCTAATCACGAGGACTAGTAGTGATCGCTGATTACAACCGTAATTCTTGGCATCTGTAATTCGCAAATTAGAACTTATTAATCCTGTGGGAAATAGTACTCTCAACAGAACAGATTATGATAAAATATTTACTGCTAAAGAGAGTGCTAGGTCACTAATATCGCTTCATCAAACTCTCGAGAAATTTTGCGCACCATTGCTTTTCTCTTATAATGTTCGTAGTAATGAATGGTGTCATCCAGTAGACGTTCTGTCTTTTCTAGCAAAACGCCCAGGTGCTGAAAGCAACTCAATACATATTAAACTCTGTTATGATATAAATCATTAAAACCTCTTTCTTTTGTTGCTCATTCGAATCCCTAGACATTGCTTCGACTACAGGGGCGATGAAGGGAAGGTATGATGTGGCGGCAAAAGGAAAATATTGACGATATGCTTCTTTGAGCTAAAATAATTGTTGAAATACTTGAAAGAAACAATTTCTAAATCGTGACCTGTTCGAGGTTGAAGGGCATGTTCATATCTCCTATCTCTCTTTTCAATTGTACATGAAAATGTTCGAGAAGCTCTTCCCAGTGCTTCTGTCTCTCTTTGCCGCTAAGACAAAATATAAGCATTGTTGCTATGTCTGTAGCTGGACTTCCCATATGAGCAGCCTAAGATTAGATTGACAGTGGAAAAAGAGACCTGTCGCTTACGGGGCCTTCAGGGATGGAGAGCCTATCTTGAACAAGAAAATGCATGGTCTTTTTTTTGGAAAAGCTATAGGATACAGGTTGCATGAACAACGACATGAACAAGCTTTCGCCTAAGCAAAAGAGAGCAAAAGAGGAATAAAAACATTTTTTCACTAACATCTCTTAGAGGCGTATATATTCATACATTTGTGCAAATCTATTACTTCAACACTGTTACCTGAAAGTCTATCATAGCAGCCAATGTTAGTTTGCTGCCATTTTGTTTCCAAAGCATATTTGCACTCGATAAGTTACCGTGGCATAAGACACGTTGCATTCCTATAATGAAAGTCTAAGACCAAAACATGGTTGCTCAACTCTTGTAGACGGTTACTGCTAGAAATTTACGGCCTTTGCATATTTCACGCCTTCTTGTTAGCATGCTATCTGAGAAACGTGCAGATAGATTTTTCACCATTTTAGTCTTTTATAGAAAATTCCACGGAATTGTAGCTTCATATCTGAATTTTAATGGTTTTATTACCTAGAATCTCTGGCAGCTGGTCGAATTTAACTGGATCCGTAATGTCACTCAGAATTTCTTCCATTTTCTCAACCTTTTCGCACAGTTTATCATCGCCAAATGTCCGAAGTGTTCTCATAGCGTTGACAAGAAGCTGAGAAGGAATTTGTTGGTCTTCACTCTAGTGAAATTATCTGGCAATCACATTAGCCAAGTCGTGCAGTCAAGATGCTACCACTGCTACTAATTCAGAAAAGAGAGAAGAAATGGACAGTATAGACAAGATTTGCGCATAAGCATCGTTGTTAGAAAATTGGTGACAGTGGGATCAAACGCTCTAACAACTTGTATCAAAATGTTTTGAATAATTTTCACCAAATGACATATGTTTTAATTAATAATCGATTTTGTAGCAGGAATAAAGAGACAATATTAATACAATTTAACTCCCGTACACATATGGGTATCGTTATCGCATTTTTATAAAAAATTAACGTGATGTAAATTTCCTGCGCAATGAACGAATATCATCAGGACAGAATGATAACAATGTGACAACAAAAACATATAGTGTAGCAGTCAAAGCGCATTGCATTCACATAAGTGAGCTGTATTAGCGGCAAGTTTATTTGAGAAGCGCACATCCATGCATTTCAAAACTCTAATTTATTAGGCTGGAAACGAAGCTTTGCAACTGCTTTCATAACAGTATTCTCTTCGAACATGGCGCACTCAAACTTTCCCTATATGTAGATCTGAGTGTGTGTTATAAAAAATGCACAAACTGATTGATTTTTAGGCTGCGTTCATACTGCTCCCAAAGTCCGGGAACAGTCCCAGCACAACGCTCACTTCGAGCGCTGTGCTGGAACTGTTCCCGGATTTCGTAATCAGCATGAACGCAGCCTTAAGGACGAAACAAAAAATCACAAACTTTCTTTCCAGAAGTAGTAATTTATGAGGATTTATGAGGATATAAGCAAAAATGAAGCCATTCGCACCCAAATCATGCATAATGATCTGAAACTGTGTGCAAACTATTTCTTGAGGTTGACGGCTCAGAAGGAAAGGAATAGAATTGAAAGACAAATCGAGACTTAGCGCCCTCACAAAGTTGAAATACGCAAGGCAGTAAGGACAACCAACTGATAACTAAGGAGTGGGGAACGTCAAAATCCGCGTAGAACATATAGTGAAGTTATTCGACTTGCTAAACACAAATACCATATTGTTTGTCAAGTTAACGTCTTTTCTATTGCTTAGGATGAACCTCATACCGTAAACCTGCAGTAATCCTGCAAAAAGGCTCTTACCAAGATTCAGTATGTTATTCGTGTTCATCATGTCGGATAACACCCCTATGCCAAGAAGTGCAAATCCGTGATAATTTGCAATTTTCACCTTCATACCATATACATACCGTAATTCTTACTGCGACGTCAGAATTTTGCAGAACTGTGGCTGCGCTTATAGCTTACGTCGCGGTCTAGATCACGGTCTAAAATTTGAGTGCGTCATATGCAAAGAGGGAGAAGTTATAAAAGTAGTTGCAAAACTTAGTTCCCAACCTTATGTTAGTGAATTTTGTAAGGAAATATTGATATTGGACTCAACGCAGCGCACAGTGAAGAAACTTCAAAAAAACAATAAAAGAAAAAAAGGCTTATCATAAAATTCAGTCGAAGTTCACTTTTGTAATCAACATGCTCCCTATTCCCGTGTATAGCTCCCCAATTGAAGCTCTAAATAATGCGATAAAATCGATTAAGTGGTAGGTATTAGTTCCAATCTACTTTCGTGTTTAGCATGCTCGCTTACCCGTGCACCAAAAATTGTAGAAAAATCCGATAAAATCGATTACTGCAATAACTACTTCTTCAAATCAAAGTCACTTTCCTAAACAACACGCTCTCTTATCCTTCCCTCTCCCCCTTACCAATTCACAGCTTCCTCTTCAATGCTTTGCAAATAATCGAGAAAGTTGGTAAATGTAACGGGTACTCCATTAAATAAAGAGATTTTATAATCAGACTCTCTTTTCTCTCCCCCCCCCCCCCCTCCGCCTCTCTTTCTTAGCGTCCCAATTGGAATCGGCTAAAACCGACATCGATACAACAAATACTTTTCAAAAAAATTTTTACTGTAATCAACATACAATCATTCGCATCAAATCTAGTTGAAACTTTGCACAAGTCGATAAAATCGTTAAATGAAGCGAATGTTCCTTCGAATAAACTTCGTTTTTGTAGTCAACATGTTCGCTTACCTCTCGCCCCCTTACCTTTCTAGCTCCTTACAAGAACTTTGCAGAAACAGATAAGATCGTTAAATACGACGGTTGTTTTTTGAAAAAAGCTACTTCGTAACCAGCATGCTCACTTGCTTCTTCACGCTTCCTGCCTCCGACCGGGCTAATACTTCGCAATTCGATAACATCAACAAATGCAGTGGGTAACGTCCATTTTTCAGAATAGATATTACTGAAAATGTAAGCAACCTATGATAATATTCGAGTTTGCACAGCTTTTGATATTGGAATGAAAGCGAGTTCGTTTGGTGAAAATGGAGTCAATCAATATCACAGCTCTTGTCATTAAGTTTGAAAAAAAATTTCGATCAACATCTAGAAAAGACAGGTTTAAAGAGCATTCAGCTGTGAATCTTAACTTGCATTTGGTGTAAAACCATACCTTCGATCTCACTTGGAGTAAGCTTACTCAAGCGGCTCGGTCGCTTCGTCTGGGCCTTGCGCTAACGTATCATCTGATCATTCTCCCATGCTTGAGCGTGAAAACGGGCTCACAGCTACAGTTCTTGAGTCGTGGCAAAAGGTCAGAGAACAAGTTCGCGAATCAATCGCAGAATTCACGGAGATCTAAGTTCCAAGGCCTAAGCCGCTCGAGTCGGGCACTTCAAATGAGACAGTGGGTACTTGATAATGTCGCGCAACGATGAGTCAGAGCCAGCGGTCTATATTTAGGGATGAAATGGCATCTCTTTAAGACTTCGAAAGGGCCCACGTCCTCCTTGAAGAGTACTTTATGGAATTGCTCAAAGGACCGTGTAAGCTCTTTTTTCTCCTCTGGAGTAAATTTAAGAGACATTGCTTCCATGATTGCAATAGCAGCAAGTACCTAAATACTATACATTACCTGAAATAATCTTAAGATAAACGAAATACCTCTTTTACAGAATTCACAGTGACGCTGTTGTAGATCTTCATTGTTTTGAGGTCTAAATACTCCATGATAATATAGCCTTTCACAGAATTAGATTCAGAGAACTTTTTCATGAAGTAAATCTGTAGTGGAGAATTAAGTCAAAACGATGTCGTAGTACAGAAAGGAACTTTACTTTGGGTATGGGAAAATCTTTATGTCCATAGCTTATGAGGTGATTGTAGACGGTCACCTCGCCATTGTGCAGCTGAATGTTCATTCACAACTATTAGGAATGTTAACTGAACGATACCGTTCTCTGAAGCTCTTCGAAAATTGAGTCAAAATCGCTGCCTGCACCCGCTTCTGCTATCAGTCTAGCCATAAGCAGCTGTGTAAGAATCTGTAATGTGTTTTGGCTAAGCTTTCGTATGCTTCCCAAGTTCTTCTTGCTGTTCAACCTTGACTATGAACTTTGCTGGGAGCTGCTTGTCTGCATTCTGCCAGTCGGGGTCTATGAGTACAATTCTGGACACAGAGCCCTGCAGTGGGCATAATGACAGTAGTATAAACAGTAGAAAATTAATGTATGTGAAGTTCGACAAGAAGCCATGCTTACAATGCCGTCTGCAATATTTTTTGCAGTCCTCTTCGGACCGAAAAAGGCGCTTGTATGCAATTCCCTTTGCATATCCTTTTCGATATCCTTCCATGTCACATGCGTCTCGAAGAGTCCATCTCCAGGAGTGTACAAGTTCATGTTTATGAAGTCAATTTCACAAATAACATAAATCCACTGATATGTTTCTTAATCACTATACAATAATAAAATTGGTAAAATGTAAATTGACAAAGATATATAAGCGAGTTTATATCCATTTAATTGGTATGACCATTTCAGCTGATACTATGGAAATTAAAATCAAGGGAGATAAGCGATGACGTAGGAAGAAGGCTGTTCTAGTAAAGCACTTAATGCTATCAGTGTAGGTAGCCGCTATGTGTCAATAAGTAAGAAACAAAACGTGGTCAATTGATTCCGTGATTACAAGCGAGCAGCTGTCATCACTATCTGGCTTAGTGTGGTAATTGTTAATATAAAAAACATTTCGAACGCAGTTCATAACAACAAGGCAGTGTTGCTTTAGCAACTCAAAAATTATAATACGACCTTTGTTTTGGTTGCAAACTGCAAGGAATTCACACTAGAAAATCTGGATTTATTGGCCATCTCAATTTTTCTTACTTTTAGTACGAAAGAATTCTACATCATATGCAGAACGCTTTATTCAAGATGAATATGAAAACATTGGAATAGATTATCGACTGTGCCTAATAAAGTGCCTCAATCTCATTCTTTCAGGTAGTTGGAAACTGATTGCGGTGTCCAATATCAAAGATTTAAGCTGTTACCGTAGTTTAGTTTCCCACTTGCGTTCTCGCGTTTTGGAGTTGAATTGCAGTTTCATAAGGTTACGAAAACGCTTATACGATTAGCAAAAAAAGTCCGTTCGGTTTCTACAAAGGAATTTTGAGATGAAGAGGGAAGGGTTCGAAGGCACAGTAAATCTAATAGCCGCTTATATAAATGGAAGTACTTTTTTAAGGTTAGAGTTACGGATAATATCAGGAGTGGTAGTATGCTCGAAACCATCTCTTGCCACCCATCTCTTTCAGATATTTCCACATGTTCCTATCTGAAACGGGATTTATATTCACGAGCTCAGGCAGTGGAAGGGATACCTCAGGAGGGACTTTCACCGTGACGTCACGGTGACGTCACAAGAAAGAGAATGAAACCCCTCCCCGGGACTCGCAAATCTCTGCTCCGGGGGTGCGCCTGATTTTCAGGAGCCCTGGAGCACCAAAACGCCTGAAATGGGAGGGCTCCGGAGCACGAGTGGCAAACTCCCGCTGGGCAGAGCCCGGAACTCCCCCATTTTCGCTCCGGAGGTATCCGTTCGATTGTCTGAGAGAGTCCATGGGAGGAAAATGGACTTTTCCACCTTTTATCCGTTCGCGATAGAGCAGTCGGATTCGCTATCGCTCGCGTTATTCAAAAGTTTTTATCCCATCGCAACCCACGAGACAAAGGTGTAATGAAAATGATTCAACCATACCTGAGCTTTCGTTTGCGAAATAATCATGTAGATCCTTTCGGAATGGAGCAAAATGAGATTTACCTCCATTTCAAATGGACCTGGGGCCGTATTCATCATTGCTACCCGAGGTAAAATGAACCTTGAGGTAAAATGTATCGTCGTCTCTCCGCGATAGATGGGGCGTGTCGTCTGCAAAGTCCGTACATGTAGTACGTGTTTCGTACGGTGCTAGCCGGCGTGGTTTTGCCAACGTTGCCAACGTATGCGCATGGCAGTTTTCGGCAGTTAGAGAGTACGAAAACTAATGTTATATGATGAAGATTTAACAAGTATTTAGACGTGGCATGTATATACATGCCACGCCATGACTAATACCGTACGAAATACGCACGTCTATGGACTTTGCAGACGACACGCCCCATCTATCGCGGGGAGACGAGAATACACTGCCTTGAAGCTGTTTCGTCTTCATCAAGGTACCTCAAGGTTAATTCTACCTCAGCTTGCATGATATGCGGTGATGCTCATTCAAGGCATGCCATAACTTTCAACGGTGTGTAAAAACTTCCTCAATGTTAATCTCTCTTTTCTACCTTCGTTCTGTGGGCATATATACTTTAAGACCGTTCGCACCTTATGCTCGCTTTGCGTATGCTGCGCCGCTTGGGGAGCGGACGAGAAAAGCAAAGAGAACCACTAGATAATCACACCATAACAATCTTGAAAGAGATATCAATGTTGTCTTTAGTAAATTATCCTAAAGATCATACATCCTTGACGCCATAATCTGTGTTTTTCTAACAAGGAGTTATCTATAAGAACGATATCTCTTTCCCCGCTTGTGACTGGAATTACCCGAAATGTTTCAACCTCAAGCGCCAGCTGCCAACTGCCTCAATGATAATAAACGGGAAGCGGAGTCCAGCATGATTGTGGCAAATGGGCATCTTGAAACGGTTAGCCTTTGCATATTCTACGATTTCTCCCTTGATGCCGTGCGTAGTTTGTTCGATTGGAGCGCATTTTCTTCCTCAAACGCACCGGCGTCTTTGATATCCCGAATCCTAACGAGGTATTAATTTTTGAAATTCGCAAAAATACTACATTAGACTCCGTGTCGAATTTTCTTCTTATCAGCTCGATTACCAATTCAACATGATACGCGATGATATAGGCCGTCCGCGCTGCGCGCGGAGAGCAACACTGTTGCGTCCAGTGAAGATAGTTGAGCGCCTATATGACTTGGGCGCACAATTAGGCTTACTGGGAAGGATCCCTAAGCTGCATGCGAGTGAGTCCAGAGACAATGCTAGCCATTTACTCCGAAAAAAATATTTGGAACGTTCCTTTGAAATACCTGCGGTCTCTTTGCGGTCTTCCGCCGAAATTATACTAAGGCTAACTTGAATTGTACCAAAAAAATTTAAAAATAATGGAATTCCTACAAACGCAATCAACTCACTTGCAAATTCTCATAACTCATGTAAGTAAGTTTTAAAAATTTTAAAAAACTATCCCCTTCCCTCCATTGGGCCACTGGTCTATTGTACGGTATCAAAATCACAGAATAGACGACACTACTGCCCCAGGGGTTATTGGTATGCCACGAAAAGAATGTCAGTTTCATACAGTTAGAATTTTTGAAATGTGAGATGGCTCAAAACTTCAAAGTTGCTTAAAAATTTGTTGAGAGGTTTTTTTCCAGTTTGCTGATCACAAATGTGATTCCAGTAGTTCTCCAATCTCGTAATCCTTGCTGGAAAATTTTATCAAAACATTATCCCGAACTCTTAGATGGTGCTTTGACGTAGTAGAGCTGTATCTTAGCTAAAAAAGAAGTATAATAAGAGTAAGAAAATGTTTGTAGAAACATAGGGAATTGTTACAAACTGAGTGCGAAGCTACGTGGACGCCATGATCTTGCTCCTTCAGCAAAAACAAAATTCTGAGGATTATCTACCAAAATCAGCTACACCAAATTCAAAACACGATTGTCGTTATGACACAAACGTGCCAGCTCAGACGCTGGAAGCGGACAAGCTGTGGCCCTTAATTAATACTGCGATTTACAAATTGTGGGCTGATAGGATAAGGAAAATTATAGTAAACTTATGATCCGGGGTCAGCCGCCCTATGGAGGATCGTGGTTCGAGTGTAATTTAATGCAAGTGCACCCAAAGGCCGCGGTTGGGCTGCACCATAGCGGCTGAGCAGAGTTAGCATATTCACTGCATAATTTTCCGCGGCTCATGCACTTTCAGAGCCTGAGATATGAAGAATGTATGAGTTTATGGCACGTACTTTTCTAGCTGCTTCGGCTGCAGTGGTGATAGAATGAACCCTACTTCAATATAAGATACCTCGAGAAGCTACAAGGTAGAATCTTCCTCAAGGTATCATCTATATATATATAAAACTCAAAAATTGTCAGTTTGGAGGGTATGTGCGTTATAGAAACGCGCGCCGCTCAACCGATTAAGCTGAAACTTTACACACATATGTTTTCGAGCCTTGCGCAGATGATAGGCTACTTTTTGCAGCGATTCGTTGGGTCCTTCTATCGATTTATTGATTTGCAGCACTTTGCAATAAAAATGATTCTTGTCATTTGCTATCAAAACAGGGGTATGTAAACAAGGCTGGCATGTCTCATTGTGATCTTCTGTTGACGAAGTGCAGTGAAAAGTGTTCTTGATATGAGTCTCATATGAATCTTAAATGGATGCACTAAATGTATCTTATGCGGAAACCTTAGCGTGCAAGAGACCATGAGTGCTTTGTAGCGAGTGTTTTGTATGGAAGCGTGCTCAATTTACGCTTATAATCAATGCTTTCTTCGTTACATGCTCAATTTAAACAATGAGGGGTCAAAATTTTTCATGAGATTGCGCACAAATTATTTGTCAATACCAGAAATAATGTCAAGACAAGCGACAACTCACATTCGCTATAGTTGATCCCTGGGACCAGGAAAGTGCGCGAGTGCAAAGTACTGCCGACTCCACAAAAATTGACGGCAAGCAGTGAATGAAGATGAAGTAGCCGGTTAACGGCAAAGTGTCACAAAAAATGATCCTCATAATAACAATGAGCGCTGCTATCAATTAACTCGCGCTGCTTGCTTAGGTTTTGCGTGTTGAACTTGATTTGGAGAAAGAGAGGTATGCTACCGACTAATAAGTGTTCACATTTTGTTTTTGTTCTTTACACAGTTTCTACAATGCCACCGAATACCTTATCTTCATTCCCGATCAGTGATCATTCCCGGGCTGGACCGGGCAGATCAGCTAGTGACTTATAATAAGCGGCTTGATTTGAAGCTGTGTGGAGTTTGTCCGTTACGAAATTACAGTGAGGAATGATTTACGATACTTAACATCATGTTAGATTAAGACAGCGAGTATGGTTCATTTCTAACTAAGCCTCTCACGCTGCAATCATCCGAACAATGATTTAAGAGACAATCTCAGAGAGTGAGTTTATTACGATTTATGACTCCAGTGCGCACTGGTAATTTCGTATTCATCAAAATTTATCTCTCAATTTTAAAATAACCTGTGCCAGCATGATAAACACTGACGTTTTTTCGGAGAAGGGCATGGCGTATTTGCGGTGAATTGCTTTTTTTCATATTCGCATGGGTTTTACGCGAGGATGCTCATGTCTTTAGAGTGTGAAAGGGTACAATTGGTGAATTGGAGAGGATAGGATACAT